CAAGTAAGCCAGAGCGCCTTCCTTATGGATTGTATCTCCTCGGGCAAATCTTCTGGACATGTGGCTGGGCAGTAACCACTGTACTTTTCCGCTGAACATGCTCACCATGCATAGTCTGCTCTTTCTGCCGCCTGAGGTGAGGGTGGATAGACGTGGTCTTCTCTGCCCCTAGGATGAGGGTAGGTCTGTCTGGGAGCACTAAGAGGTGGGAGATATGTCCAAACAGGAATGTGATCTCATCAACCTATGGATGGAGAAGACACATCCTTCCAGTAGTACCCTCAAACCTTAACAAGCTGAGAAGAGGGCCCCACAACTTAACCACACCTTCCAGGGTGCAGTGTCTGATATGGGGGCTCAGGGACAGGGGCAGTAGACTATAGTTTGTGAAAGTTACTCATAGGCCCAATGAGTTTTAGTGGTTTCATTGGTCATTCTTATTTGATGCCTGTGGAACAATTTCAGAGACATTAATTTGTTGTTGTAAATAAAATGATGGTGAACTAAATAATTTTACTGTTTGCCTTAAAATATCATGGGGGGTATTATTTAACCCGCTCTCACAAACAATAAAACATAGACACCTGTTAGATTTTGTAATTGCCTTATTTACCTTGGTCTGGGCAGATATTTCACTTATGCTATCTCAGTAACCTCACCATCCACCTCCCAGCCCCTATCCAATGCCATCTGCCTTAACCATGCCTAACTGTACTACCTTCCAACCATAATCTCTTTTTTTTTTTTTTATGTATATGAGTGTTCATTCTGCATGTACATCTGCACTCCAGAAGAGGGCACCAGATCACATTATAGATGGTTGTGAGCCACCATGTAGTTGCTGGGAATTGAACTCATGACCTCTGGAAGAGCAGACAGTGCTCTTAACCACTGAGCCATCTCTTCAACCCCCAACCATAATCTTATAAATACTTGCTTATATTTTTCATCTTGGTGTTTTCTTCATCTATACCATCCTCAGCATCCTGCCTGGCCCACTTCTGGTTACTTCTTCGTGCTAACCCATCATGGCACCCACCTTCATCTCTTCCTGTCTCTCTCTCTCTGCTTTCTGTTATTCCCTGTCCTCAAAAGCCCAGAAACCTCAGCCACACTTTCTGCCCTGCCCAGGTACAGACCTTTTTTATTAACTAGTCAGGAATAATGTCTTAGGCAAGTTTGCACAACAAGGATAGGTGTATATAGGCAGGGACAGTAATTAGTATCAAAATAGAGGCATCAGACCAACTCCCAACATTAAAGGATCTAAACAAGCTTTGTGTGTGTCACTGGAGAGGAAGCACTGTTCCAGAACTCCATATTCTCAGCCCAGAAGTGAGGCTTTCCCTTTCCTTTTCAAAGACAGGAATTTCTGATTAACTGTTTTCATCCTGCAGCTGATCAGTGTGTCATCCGCCATCACTGCTGATATGGCTGTGACTTGGCTGCTTTCAGGGCCCTTCTCTGAGCTTAAGTTTGGCAGTTGGATTATGAAGTGACTGTTTATGAATCCCTTTACTTTATTCCTGTTTGAAGTTCATTTCTTGGATGTTTTTCATCAAATTTGGTATGTTCTTGATCAGTTTTCCTATAGTCATTTGTCCATTCTCATCTCCTGAACCCACCCATCAAGCAGTGAACATCTAATAATGCCTCACAGGTCTCTGAAGCTCTGTACACTTTATTCACTCTATCTTAGTCATTGTTCTATTGCTGTGAGGAGACACCATGACCACAGCAACTCTTACAAGAGAAAACATCTCATTGGGGATTTGCTTACAGTTTTAGAGACTTAGTCCATTATCATCAAGGCAGGGAGCATGGTAGCACAAATGGTGCTAGAGCAGTTGAAAGCTACATTGTGATCCTCAGACAGAGAGACAAACAGACACTGGGCCTGGCATGGGCTTTTGAAACCTCAAAGCCCACTCCAACAAAGTGGAGAAAGCACACTTTCTCCAACAAAGCCATACCTCCTATTCCTTCTATTCCTCTTAAATAGCACCACTCCCTAGTGACTAAGCATTCAAATAAGTGAGCCTATGGGGATTATTCTTATTCAAACCACCATTTTTTTCTGTCTTCAAACTATAACCTCAGTTGGCCTATTTTTGTGCTTACTGACTGCTTACTGTTCTCATCTTCTTGAGTCCCTAAGTGAATTTTTAACCTGAGTTGTGCTTTCTAATTCCAGAATTTTGACTTGGTGCTTATTTTTCATTTTTATTGCTTTACTGAGAGTCTCCATTGAGTAGGACATCATCCTTATACCTAGGCCTTCATGTCTGGTTCTCCAGGTCTTTGGCCATGCTATTTTAAGTAAAGTAGCTACATTAGAGTCTATCCTTATGAGTCCAACATGTGGAGGATATTGGTTGCTTTTTTTTTTCCTATTTATTATAAGCTGTAGCTTTTCTTTATAATTACATTTATCTAAAAAAATAAAAACTGAAAAACTTAGCTAAAAGGGATTCATAATGTCACTTCTTAATCCAGTGGTAAACTCAAGACCAGGGAAGGGCCTTGCAAGCAACAAAGTCATATCCACATCTGTTTTGAGTGTATGTGTACATGTGTGCCGAAGTCAGAGGACAACTTATCAAGTCAGTTCTTGCCTTCTATTAAGTGGGGACCAGGAATTGAACTCAGGCTGTGGCTTGGCAGTGGTTGCCTTTACCTGCTGGGCCATCTCACCAGTCCTGGCCATAGCTTTGTGTTGAAATGCCTCATGGCTTTTGACTTTCCATTAGTATTTGATGGCCACTGTGAAAGTGCAATGTCCCCTGCATCTGTTACCTTTGTCATTGTGCCATTGTTAGTTCTGGTGACTTCCTTGGACTAATTATGTTGTGTTTGTATTCTTGGTGGCCATTATACTTTGGCTAGCTGATTTAATTGGGTTAATGGAGCTGAAATTTCCTTAAAAAACAAAACAAAACAAAAACTGCACCAGTGAGGCTCCAGTCTTCCCGGGGCCTCTGTATGTGTTGATTCCCGTCTTTAACACATAGCCTGGGAGTTGACAACACAACTTTATATCCTACTTCCCATTCATGCCAGAGGGAGAGCTTATGGCCCTCACAGGTCTTCCCTGAGCATATACACAGCTTTAATGTGTGCATAGTCTTTGGATTCTCAGGAATGTTTCAGAGTCCCTAATGATCCCTCATTAACCACTTTTTAAGGTTTCTGGCTAGCCTGTATTGTACATTTTCTCAGCAGCCATTTAAAATCTTCCTCTAAGCTGTGGCAAATGCCTTTAATCCCAGCAGAGGCAGGCAGATCTCAGAGTTCCTCAAAGAAAGCCAGGACTACACAGAGAAATCCTGTCTCGAGAAACCACTGAATGAATGAATGAATGAATGAATGAATGAATGAATGAATGAATGA